TACCGGGCTCAGTGGTCCAGAGGTTAGGCGTTCCCGCGAACAATACCGAAGGTCCTGGATTCGAATCCTGACGAGTGGCAGGAGTCGTGGAAGCGCACTGCCACTAAAAGTCCGTCTTTCAGTGCTTCCAGGTTTGTCTAATAGTGTTGGTCTAACATTGATCGATTCACGGTTTGAAAAAATATCACAAATCAATGTGAAAGGGAAAATACGTGAAGAACTATAACAAAGGATATATATATATATATATATATATATATATATATATATATATATATATATACATCTTTAGTCAGTTAGAGTTCAATATTCAATTTCACCTTAACCCTAAGCAAACATCTTTTGTTTTAATTTCTCTCTCTTATTGTATGTTATTTTTTTTTACTTTTTCAAATAAATAAAAATATATTTTGATTTTGTTATAAATATGTCAATCGTTTTGTTTTTTTTTCGTTTTTCGCAACACAGATTGAATAATTGAACAATGAAACGTGTGATTATTGTTTTAGTGTTCTAAGACAGAAGAGACACAACAACAACAACAAGTTTAAACATGATATTCATCATTTTCTCTCCATCTCTCTCTCTGTCACGAGTAAATATGAACATAGCCAGTTAATAACTAACTAACTTACTAACTACAACATCTTTAAATTGGCAACAATTGACACCAACTCCCGTAACAACAACATTCATAAAAAAATCCAACACAACGACATTCAGATAAATATTTTTTCTTTTCAATTAATTTCAAAGAAATTGATGAACATTGAACAGTGAACAAAAAAATGTCAGTTCATTAAAACAAAATAAGGCATTGAACATTGAACAAATGTCAATAAACTCATTCCCATATCATATATATTAACAATAATAATAATAATAATAATAATAATAATAATAATTAATCATAATCATTCGACTAACCCATCACAAGCATAAATACCATAATGTTTGCCTGATGAATGATCTTCACACACGTGACATGGAATATCCAATAAGATTCGATCTATTTATGCCACCATGTTCAATAAGAAAGAGAAAAAAAAAAGACATTGATTGGATAAATTTAAGAAATATGAATATGTGTAGATAGATAGATAGACAGATAGATGGACGGATGGTTGGATAGATAGATAGATAGATAGACAGATAGATGGACGGATGGATGGATAGATAGATAGATAGATAGACAGATAGATGGATGGATGGATGGATAGATAGATAGATAGATAGATGGACGGATGGATGGATAGATAGATAGATAGATAGACAGGTAAACAGATGTTGAAAATTATTCATTAAAAACTTGTCATCATCATCATCACGATGATTCATGCACATACGTACGTACACACGCACATGTAGACATGATGGATAAGCCAAAGTAACAACAATAACAAATAACGTGTTTTTTTTTCAAATGAACTATTTTGACATTTTATGGCTATAACAATGAATACAATTACACACACATATCATCATAGATATACATGAAAATAAAAATCATTCATATACACAAAAGTCATCGTGTTTTTTTTGTTGTTGTTGTGAAGATAGTTCACTTCATTAAAACAAACAAATAACAGAAAACAATAAAAACATTGAATATTGAACAACACTAATATGAAATGATGATACACCTATCATCATTTAATAAAAAAAAACTACAAAATGTATCCGGTAAGTAAGTAAGTAGGTAGACAAAGCAAGGCAAGTAAAGATTAAACATTATACTAGTACTATTTACTAGAAAGACTACTACTACTAATACTAATCATCATCAGTATAATAAAACTTGATATATATATAGATATTGATATATATTGATATATAAATAACTGTAGTAACTAACAATGAACTGTCAATCATTGTTATAGAATTGTCTTGTTTTACTGGACTGTACTGTACTGTTCTATTTTATATTGTATTGTATTATTTACAGTACAAATAGAATAATGTTCTTCTGTTATTGAACAGATTGAACACATTGAATAAAACAACATTGAAAGGTTAAACATGATGATGATTAAAACAAAAATTATTTGTTTATTTATGATAATAATAAAATTTTTTTATAATCAATCAATGAAAATGTTTAATTTTTTGTTTTAATTCTATTTTACTTTCATAGAATGTTAGAAGATGAGATAAATAATTAACTGATTTAGAAAATGAAATTTAAGTAGTAGTAGTAGTAGTGTGGTGTGAGCTACTTGTAGAGTAGTATATGACGCGCGTGAGTGTCAACGTAATGTCTGGTGGCAGCAGAAGATGGGGGGAAGATCAAGAGAAAGGAAGTAGAGTGGGAACACAATGGAATTTGTGTATGAAACTCAGAGGCTCCGGTTGGCGAGACTGTCGGCTGATGGTGACCCGTTGGTGCTGGCTGTGGAGCTTACGATGTTGCTGCGCCGTGCACTGCCGAGTATGGATGGGTAGTCGGGGGCACAGTTGTTTATCGAGAGTGCGCCTGCCGCCGTGTTCCGCAGCGGGAACTAGTAAACGCGACACGTTGGGCAGATGCCGTACCCATTCCAGACCAGCGGGCGAGAACAATGACCGAAGTGGTAATCCGGCATATTGTAGCGTGTCACGGAATACGGAAGGTGATAGTAACTGACCAGGGTCACTGTTTTGAAAGACTACGACGACAGCTTATTAAAAGGGTGGACGAGTGTGGTGTGAGCTACTCATAAGTAGTATATGACGTGAGTGTCAACGTAATGTCTGGCAGCAGCAGAAGATGGGGAAAGATCAAGAGAAAGGAAGTAGAGTAGGAACACAATGGAATTTGTATGAAACGCATCATGAATAGTGAGTGACAATGGATTGTTGATGTTTTGCAACAGGAACAGTCCAGTTCGATATGATGAACTGATATTTTGCAAATTAAAACGATTTACGATATGGTTTTCCGATTTTACTGAGTAACCTCTGTTGCACAACCTATGTTCTCGTTCACTACAGTATGTAATTGTATGTGTTATTATTTAAGAAGTAAGTCATTGAATGTACTTAACATTATTTAACATTGTTTGAATTTTTAGGAGTGGATATTCTACGAGGAGACACGTTTGCTGACTTAGAGTATGTTGATGATATAGTTTGATTTTGTGAAGATGCCTCTTGATAAAATGTAGAGTTTTTTGACTATCTTAAGCAACAATGCAAGTATGTTTGGGATACGGTTTACGCCGGGCGAAATGCAAAATGTTGTTTCAAGGTTGGGTTGCATCAGCAATGTGAACTAGTGATAGGGAGTGAAGTAGTCAGACGCGTAGACCACTTCATTTATCTTGGGAATCTCATCATTGGTGATGGCTTGGTAACTGACGAAATCTCAGCTCGGATACAGAAAGCTCGATTGGCTTTTGCTAACTTGTGTTACTTATGACTAACTGAAGGAGGAGTTTACTGCGAAGTAGTTCGCTCCGTTCTCCTATATTGATGAGAAAGATGGCCGGTAAGAGTATAAGATATTCGTAGGTTACGAGTATTCGAACATAGATGTCTCTGAAGCATTGCTCGTGTATCGTGGGACACCCGAGTGAGCAATGCTGTTATTAGGAAACGGGTGCTAGGTAAAAAGAATGGCAGATCAGTAGATGAAGTAATGAAACTTCATCAGTTGAGGTGGTTGGGACATGTGCTGCGTATGCCTAACCACCGACTGCCTCGACAAACTTTGTTTTGTAGTGTAGGAATAGGTTGGAAGAAAGTTAGGGGCAGCCAAACCAAAATATAGCACAAATCTATGAAGTCACTGACAAGTGGACTGAGTCATGTTCGTAGACGTAGACTACCTGGTTGGGGTCCGCAAGATGATAATAATCAATGGTTTGATACCCTAAATGACATGGCTCAAAACCGTTCGAACATAAATGTCTCTGAAGCATTGTCTTCAGTGAATAATCGATTCACACAATATTTATAACTCTAAACTGAGAATTATATCATGTACACATTAGTGACTAGCTTCTTGAAAGGAACTGCTGGAGTTCTAATAAGAAGCTGTGACCAGTAGAGTTGACCCAGGTCGGGTTTAAATCAAAGAAATAGTTCGATACTTGTGACTTGGATTTCAATGATTGGAGACTAGTTAACGTTGGTAAATAACCCCTAGATCAATAATAGTTAAACATTAACACCGTTGAATGCCACCGGCCCAGTGGTTCAGAAATTATGCGTTCGCGCACTAGACTGAAGGTCCTGGGTTCGAATCCTGGTCGAGGTGCAGAAGTCAAAGGATACGCACTGCCACTGACGTGTAGTCCCATACAGTGGGACGAAACGTCCGTCTTTCAGTGCCTCTTTGGTTTCTAATGGTAGTGATCTAACAATGATTGATTGATGACTTCAAATGTGCAACAAACTTATGATTATCAAACTGAACCGTCAAATCTTCTGAACCACTGAGCCGGTATCTAACGGTGTTAATTTAAAACTTCAATCAATCCATGGTCCTATACAACTTCATCTGTTATCGTCAGAGAGCACTGCTTGATATCGGAACAGGGTTGGATTCTACGACTTTTGACTAGAACTCGAGGATGGTCACTACAGTTCGATCAGATTGCTCAAGACTATGGATTGATCAAAGATACACATGCCAATTCATTGGTCTGAAGATTAAGAGCATTCGTATGAGTAATCGTATGTCTTGGATTCGATTCCTGTGAGTAGTATGAGTCGTGGATAAATACTACTGATGAGTCTTATACCAGAACAAAACAAGCCGTCTAAACAATACTTCCAGGTTTCTTTAGTGCTGCTCTAACAATGATTCATTCATGAATGTTTTGTATGAACCCAGGATGGAATGACTCAGAGAATACCAATCGGAATATATATATTGTATTCAGCTATCATCCAAAAGACACAAGTGTTCATTTTATAGATCTCTACACAAGTTACTCCTCATCCATCTGCTGAATGCTATCAGTAACAACCTATTGTGGGAGAGAACCAATCAGAAATTAGTAAAAAGCTCTAGAAGTGGATAGGACATACAATAGGTGAGGCACACTAAAGTATCACCAGACAAGTTCTAACACGGAATACTCAAGATCAGAGATGCTGATCAGAAACGCTGAGCATTAGAAGTAGAAGCATTCAAAAGATTGAATAACAGTTTGGTAGAACTTGTGTGTGTGTGTGTGTCTGTGTGTTGAATAATTCTAATCGTCGACCTTATACTCACTCCATTAAAGGTTATTCAGCATAAGTTAATTAAGTAGTATCTTTCTTGTGTACATTTTCTGTTAAATTCTATCAAGTTGTTAAGATTTTAATTGAATTCTAAGAATCGACTTAAAATTAAACTTCATATTCAGTATTAACTGTTATCAGCGGGAGAACCAATCAGATTTTACTTATCAACCAATAGATTGACCAATGAAAAATAACCTTATTTAAATTTACAAATAATTGAATAACCAATCAGAAAACGATAATAAATAACAGATGAATAATGTATTAGCTTGAAGATTTAATCCTACTTAAAATACCTAACATTCGAAACAAACTCAATCATCTTAAGTAGGGAAGAGATTGAAGTGAACAGGAATAATTAAAGGGGAATAAAATATATAGTTGACAGATTCACTATAAGATTACAATATTATATGTAATAATAGTGAGAAGACATGAATAGTGGAGTTCAACTCTGTCGAGTATAGGCAGTTACCAACAAA